GGGGTATCAGTCGAAGAAGAAAAAACGGCATACGCATAAGTTTTTGGCGCTCCGCGCGGATTTCTGGGATCTGCGCTGGACTCCCCCGGCGGCGCCTCCGGCGCCGCCCCTGGCGCGCTCCGCGCGTCAGGGAGGGGGTCCGGCGCAGATCCAAGAAATCCGCGCGGAGCGCCAAGAAGTTTATGTTCGTGGTGATTTTTCTTCTCCTGATCAGGGGCATCGTTTGGGGGGAGAGGCTCAGAGGGGAGACGTCGACCCGGACGCGACGATTCAACACCGATGCATCGGCGACAGGCCTGCGACAGCGAGCGCTCGGGCCGGACGAAAGGGGGGTATTGGGAAAGGGGGGGTTACGAAATCTGCTGCATGCAGCTGGTTTCGGCCCCGCCGCCGGGCTCGTTCCTCGGTACACATGGGCGCCTCCCGGCGCCGGGAGGCGCCAGAAAATTCAGCTACGGGAGCTGATTCTCAACCCCCCCCTTTGCTATCCCCCCTTTCGCCCGGCCCGACAGGCGATATCGGCTTGACCCAGAAGGAGGTCCTTCGACAAGGGGTTGGTGCAATAGATTTGGTGCAATAGATTTGTGGGGTTGCAGTACGTGTGGGGCGTGCACTACACTTCGGGGCGCACATTTGTATTGCTGTATGTTCGCGTGCGGTACATTACTTGCAATACGATGCAAAACAATTCTCTGGCACAGTACATTTGCGATACAATCGACCCAAATCTATTTGACCACCCCCTTTCAGCTGGACCCCCTTTCGGGTCACCCAAACGATTGCCCCGTGATGACGGCGATGTGGCCTCCAACCGTGCCAGTGCTGCATTAGCTCTTCTGAGTGTTATCATCACGTACAGCGATAACCCGAATGTGAAAGGGGGCCTCTCTCCACCCGCGTCACACACTTTCGCTCTGGTCGCGCACGTTGAGGAAGCTTCGAGGGAGAGCCGCAGTTTGAAAACGAGGCGGCCTTCATCCTTGCAACTATTGGGCAGCATCATAACGACTATGCGCGGCGCTGAGGCGCGAGCCGCCTTTTGAACACCACTGGGCCTTCATCCTGGTAGCTGCTGCATTTCTTTATTCTCATGGCCCCCACTTGCAAGGAGGTCTCAAGCGAAACGCCTGGCCCGGCCTTTGGACTCGTCAGGTGGTGCGGCAGGGGGGGAGTCCTTTATGAGGAAGAGGGTGAGGAGGAGAAGGACGAGTGCAAGGAGGTGGAGGAGGAGGAGGTGGAGGAGGAGGAGGGGGAGGAGGAGAGGAGGAGGGGAGGAGGAAGGAGGAGGAGGGGGGGAGGAGGAGGAGGAGAGGGGATGGGAGGAGGAGGAGGGAGGAGGAGGACGAGGAGCAGGAGGAGGAGGAGGAGGAGAAGGAGGAGGAGGAGGAGCAACACGAGAGGGAGCACGAGGGAGGAGTGCCCGCCCGAGGCATGGCCGGGCTCGTCGGCCAGCTGGACGACCGCTTGTACCCCCCGGAGGCTGGGACGGAGCTCGTGCTCGAGGCTCGCGCGCGCGTGCGCGCGTGCGCGCGCGCGTGCGCGCACGTCCGTGCTGCGCCCCCCGAGCGCGGGCGGCGCGCTCGGCGGGCCTCGCGGGACTTCGGCGGCCCCCTCGGCAGCCTCCTCGGCGGCTCTCCGGCAGCTCTCGGCGGCGCCCTCGGAGGCTCTCGGCGGCCCTCGGGGGCTGGCGGGCGAGTGCCACATCTTGTCCGCTCCGCGCCCCTGCTCATTCTCCTCGTCGTCGCCGTGTGCACCGCTCGTCTGTGCCCTCCCTTCGCATTCCTCCGCCGTCCGCCTCCCTCTCGCCGTCCTCGTCTGCATCCCTGCTCCTCGTCGTCCTCCGTCCTCAGGCCGTTCCTTCCTCCCTTCTTCCTTCTCCCTCCTTCGTCCCTCCGTGCCCTGCCCCTCCTTGTCCTCCTCCGTCTCCCCTATCCTCTCTCCTTCGGTCCCTGGCCACAGGCCACAGGGGCTTCAACGAGGCCCCTCCCGTCCCTCTTGCTCTGCCTGGCTCCCCCCCCCGCCTACTCATCACAGCCCTCCTCGGTCAGGGGGTTGCGAGGGATACGAGGTTGAAGATGAGGAGGAGGTGGCGGTGGGGAGGAGGCATGCAGCAAGGGAAAGATGGAGGAGGGGGAGGGCGGGGAGAAGGAGCGCCGGGGGAGGAGCAGGAGGGCTGGGCGGAGCAGAGGGAGGCTTTGGCGGAGATGCTGTTGGACAGGGAGCGAGAACGAGTAGGAGGAGGAGGAGGAGGAGGAGGAGGAGGAGGAGGAGGAGGAGGAGGAGGCCGAGAAGGCGAAGACGGATGGGGAGTAGCAGAGGGATCAGGATGAGGGGCAGGCCGGAAGATCCGAGGAAGCCCGGTAGGCGAATTGACTCACACCAGTGCCTCCTGCGCCGCAGCTAGTGGGGGGGCGGGCGTGGCGACGGAACGAGGAGGCTCTGACCTCTGACGTCTTGCCTTTCGCTGTCTCAATGCGTGGGCCCCCGGCGTTCCCGACACCATCCGCTGCAGGACCGGTCTTTGTCGTGGCGGGTGACTTTCGGATGCCTCCTCCCCCCCCTCCTCCTGCTCCTGCTCCTCCTCCTGCTCCTCCTCCTCCTCCTTCTCCTTCTCCTCCTCCTCCTCAGAGATTGAATGCCGGCTGCGGCCCCGAATCCGCCGACACCAATGGATCGGCGCCGTCGGGAAGGCGCGATCCATCGAGTAGCTTCCCAGACCGCCTCGCGTGGGGAACAGAACACGACGGGAGGTTCTGGCAGAGTGGGGCGTCCGGGGCCCTCTGGGGCCGAGCCTCGCTTCGGGATGAGAGGCCAGCCCCCCCCCCCCTGTGTCAAGCAGTGGCGGAGCGTCCTGGCTTGCCTTTAGCCCTACCAAACAATGTTCTAAGAAGCTTTTGTGGTTCCCACGAAATGTTCTCAGAACATTTCTGGCTGGGACTGTCTTGTGTTAACGCATCGGGCTTATGCTCTAAGAACACTGTTTTTGTTATTAGAACATTTTTGGATTCTGAGAACATTTCGTGGCATGACTCTATGGGAATGACGGGCCGGTCGGTCCCTGCTCCACTGCGAGCACAGACCCGCCGCTGGCTGTCCGGGTTGAGCGACCTGTGCGGTGGCGTGACCAGACGCCGACGACATCGCGGCTCGAGCCTTCGGCTCACCACCTGGCATCGCTCGGACGTGTGCATTTTTCCCTCCGGCGAGGGCCATCGAGGAGCATCCTTGATCATTTGGCGCAAAACCACGCACGAAACCGAAAAAAGTACAGGGAATGGACGTCCGAGCGATGGCCAGGACCCACCAAGCCGCCCCAGCCCCCGACCCGAAGGCCCCAATGTGCCCTCCATTCCCAGCGGGGGGCGGGCGGGACGTCGGGGAGCCAGAAACAAGAGTCACATGTGGAAGAACCCGTTCCCAAACCCGATCCGGATGTTGGGTCTTCGGGTTCCATTCAAGTCGGGCGTGTCTCTCTACAAGGAGAATGCTCAAAAATAATCTTCACAAACTAGTGTGGGGACGATTTGTCTACTATTTTTGTATACTTCCGATGTTGACTATTTTTCATTGTTCTTCGAAAGGGACATGCCCGACATACGAATAGTAGGTTGGGGAGGTCTGGTGGGTGGTCGTCTGCAGGCGTTCGGCCATGGCCCCCATCGCAGAGCGCAGCCGTCCAGCCTCCGCGCAGCAGACCGCCGGTCGAGGCCGCGCCGAGCCATTGGAGGCCGCGGAAGGCCGACGGGGGCCAGCACGCATCACGGTGCGCCTGTGGTTGAGCGCTCCTCCTTGCCCGAAGCGGGGGAAGTGCATACAAACCGTGGACACGCTAACGGCGTTGCTGGCAACGGCGATGCAGGTTTCGGTATCTTAGGTGGGGGTGGCCCGTGGCCAATCCGATTGCAGGGAGGGCTCGTCTGTGTTGTCCTACATATTGTTCTGCGCGAGTTCGGCGTCGCCAAAAAGACATATTCCCAACATCGCCGTTAATCAGCATCGCCGTTAGAAAGGCCTTGGACAAAGATAACCAGCGTGAGAAGGACCGGGGTCGCCACCCACGAGCGACGAGCGACGAGCGACGTATCCATATGGACCGTTCCAAGAAGGGCAATGCCTTCGAGGATCGAAGGAGCTGCAGGCGGGAGGCGGCGGAAGGCCAGTGGACGGCGGCAGAAGTAGAACGAGGCCGCTTCCGCTGGCGGAAGGCTGGTGGAAGGCGGCGGAAGTAAAAGATGCGCCCCTCAGAGATGACCTGGTTTTTGGGTTCAGGGTTTCCGGAACTGGCCATCTCCAAGGCCTCGCGTTTTGTTTTGTTTGGTTGTTGGTCCATGACGGAGGCGCAGCAACACCGGGCCCCTTTATCGCGACCTGGGGGCGGAGAGCTCCCCTGACCCTCGGCGACAGCCGAACGTCCATGTACACTGTGCACACGATGTGGTCCACGTCCTCCTCCTCCTCCTCCTCCTCCTCCTCCTCCTCCTCCTCAGAGGACATTGAGTTTGGCATTGGGGATCCGCGGCCCCACCAGTTTCCAGCGTTCCGTGTACGGTACTGAGGCTCACTCGCTCAGTACTCGTTTTTCTTCATCTACTAACGGCCACTGGTTGGCGGATGGCACCGCCCAGAAGGGGCTATGTTGCGTGTCCTCACGCTGCTTGCCGCTATCAGTGGAATTGGCGCTCACATACTAAGTGTTGGAAGTGTGGAGGCAATCTCAAGCCATCGCCCGACGACGCAGCAGGCAAGGGCAAGAGCAAAGGGAAGTGGGACTATGGACCACCACGCTCCGCCCTCAGCCCCTTCACTTCGTGGGACACTGGTGCTGCTTGGGCTCAAGATGGACAGTGTACCTCCGCCGCCACATCCCTTGACGGGTCGTCGCCGTTCGCCCCTACGCCCGAGCAGCTCTTCAGTGCCTTGGAGCGCAGACTGCCTCCTGGGGCAGCTGGCGACATGGGAGCCCACCTCAGCGCGCTGGCGACAGCCCTGCAGACGCCCAGCCCGACAAGGAGGAGAAGCACAAGGTTCAGAAGGCCCGACCAGAACTCGAGCGGGAGCAGCAGCTGCACCAGTCTGCAGTTGCAGCCAGGAAGGCCCAGGAGGCCCTCGACAAAGCTATCATTTTCGAAGAGGAGTGCAAGGAGTAGCTGCACAAGGCGTCCGCGGACCTCCAGCAGAAGGTCCAGGCCGCTGCCGCCACGGCGGCCGCCCACCAGCGCCTGCTCCGCAGCAGCCTGGAGGCGCAGCCGCCCTCATCGCTCCAGCCAGCGGCCATCAACCTCACGGCCATCCTCGAGACCACGGAGCCTGACGACTTGGGCAAGTTGGTTTGCTTCGAGGACGGCGACCTCTTCTCGTTCGGCGACCTGGAGCTCGAGCAGGAGGAGATCGAGCAATGGCACCGCCACAAGTCTGAGCTGGCCGCCGAGGTCAGCAAGTTCATCGTCGCAGCAGCCGGTCCATCCGCGCAGGGGCTGGCTCAGAGGAAGCAGGCGTTCGCCGAGTACCGCGCCCGCATGGCGCACAAGCGGCGTCGTACCGCAGCTGGTGGCATGGCTGCAGGAGGCGACCCAGCCCAGCAGAGAGATGCCGATGGGGGGCCTGGGGGCCATCCTGACGGGGACGGCGCAGCGGCGGCTCGCGCCCCCGCCGCGGCGCCTGGCCCTGGGGCCCCGCCGGCGTCCGCTGCGGCGTCGACCGCGGGCGACCCGCCAGGCGCGGCCCCCGAGCCAGCTCCCCCAGAGGCCTCGCCCGAGGACCTCGCCAAGACGCTTGCTGAGGCTCGCGCCAGGCGTGAGGCCTCAAGGGCCGCCGCCACCGCCGCGGATGGCAAGCAGGGGCTTTAGCGGCATGAGCTCCAGCAGGCCAGGCCGCGGCGCGGGCCAGGCGAGGGCTTCTGACTCTCGAGAGCTGGCATTCTATTTCAAGAACATTACTACTTGGGGGCCGTCAACCCTCAACGATATCAAGGATGGAGTTTCAGGCGCAGATGTTGTGGGCTTTGCTGAGACCCACTCAGAGGATTCTCGCGCCATCGTCGATGCCATGGATAAGCACGGTTGGAAAGCAGTTGTCGCCCCTCCGAGGGCCTTTCGTTCGGTCAAGAGAGCTGGTGGTGTCATCGCTGGACTGAGGCGACACATCAAGAGCCACTCGTTCAAGGACCTTTGTCGTACTGATGAACAGCAGGTGGGTGCCGGCCGCCTTGACGGCATTCTCAAGGGCGGTGGCCCCGTCGATTTCTGGGATTTCGCGCCCGTGGCGGTCGAGCTCTATCTCACGCCTGGGGAGAAGCTCATGGGAGTCAACGCAGAGAAGCTCACGAACCTAGGGGCGTTCCTCAGGCTTTCGCAGATGCCTTGGATTCTCGCGGCGGATTGGAATGTGTCACCATCGGACCTGAGGCGATCCAAATGGCCAGATCTCCTTGGAGGATATGTTCTAAGCCCAGCGAGTACTACTTGGACGTGCAATCGTGCGCCATACAACCTCTTCGATTTCTGTCTGGTTTCAAATGCTGCCATGGGCCTGGAACCCACATGCTACGCCGACGAGGCTTGAGGAGATCACAAAGGCATTTGGTTCAAGCTTCGGGTGGACACCCAAATGGCGCAGATTCGCATTTTGCCGCAGCCTCGACGTTTCCCGCACCCACCAAGGCCCAAGCGAGGCCCTGCAAGCGATCCAGGCGCAAGGCTAATCGTACTAAGGAGGGGGCATCGCGCCGTCTGGATCATTCAGCACCATCACAGGACCCTTATGAGGGTGATGGACAAGAGCAACCCGCACCCAGGCATGGACAAGGACTCCCGCCCAGGAGCTACGACGAGGTGATTCAGATCATGGCCCTGGGCCCTCCCCGCGCTGTCCTCGCTGCCGCCGCTTGCGGCGAACCTGCTCATGGCCCAGGGCCAGGAGATGGCTGCGGCGTGCGACCTGGGCTGCAACCTCCGATTCCCAGCCTGATGGACCAGGCCGAAGTTGATTTTGACGGTATGAATATACTAAGCGACATTGATTTGGATGAGGAGTTCGACGTGGCTGCCCCGTCTGCTCCTACGGTTTCACCGCAGCAGCCAGCAGCTGCTGCCACGCCGTGCTCTTCAACGGGCGCGGCTTTCTCGTCCCAGCTGGCGCCCGTAGCGGTTTCGGAAAAAAAAAAGTAGCTTGGCAAATCACACCTGGTCCAAATATTCACGCGTAGCACCCGCTGAAGATGGCCCCGCCCGCGTACATCGAGAGCGGGGAGGCCTGCCTCTGCAACCTGACCATGCCGAGAAGGGGCTCGAGCAGATCACCTTGACGGACGCCGAGAAGGACGCCCGCTGGAGTCACCTGAGCCCCGCATGCCTTTCTGCAAAGCCGATCCCTAGCTTCATCCAAGACTCCTGGGCTTTCAGGCTCTCGACCCAATCTGCGGCCCTTGGGGTTCTCTTTTCGAGCTGGGTCGATCGACTTGAACGTTTCTAATGCGACATCTACCAGCTGCCTAAGGAGCAGCGCGCGTTTTACTCTGGCCGCGCTTTCACCCAGGGGCCCACCGTTTCAAGAATGACCCGAAAGGGGCAGCCCTCTCGGTTTTCGGACCCGCTGGCCCGCTGGTGGGCCGAGGTGGCCACCCTGGCCGCTATCGGGGAGCAGTCTGCTAGGAGGGCGGACCTCGGCAAAGACCCCACGCTCCAGGGTAAGGAAGCTATTTCGAGGCTCGCCGAGAGGGCGCACTCAGTCCCCTTCGGGGCCCTCTTTGGCCTTGGAGCCAGCAGCTGTTCTGTCAGGGAAGATCTGGCTCCGAGACCCGCAGCATCTGGGGTCTCTGGAGTGGCGCACCCTGCGCGAAACGGCGGAGGCCAATGCGGCCCAGGCCAAGCAGGCAGCAGCCAGAGCTTCATATGCTGAGTTTAAGGTTTGGGTAGCGGAATCTCTTCCGGACAAGGTTGGAAACCTCCACCGCTACTCCAAGCCCAAGGCTAAGGTCACCTCATAGCTGATCTCTGATGAGGGGGTGACAGGTTCTCCGCTCGAGCTGATGGACCTGCGTAGGTCCCGATGGGCCGCAACATAGACGGCCCCTGATTTAAGTGCTGCGTGGCAGAGGGCCGAGTCGGCTTTCCAGCAAGGCCGCGCCTCTGCAAAAAAAAAGCCCCTCCCAGCGATTGCCCTGGAGCACCTCCATGGGGCCCTGCGGCGAATCCCTGTCCAGACTGGTCGTGGGATCGAGAACCTCGACCCTCGGGACATCCAGGAGCTGGGGCCCCAGGGCCAAACCGAGCTGCTGCAGGTTTTCCACGCAGCTGAGTCTAATCTGGCCTGGCCATGACAACTGCTACCGTCTATCATCGGTCTCCTGCCTAAGGACTCTGGCGGCCAACGGGCGATTGCCCTTCTGTGCTGGTTGTCCAGGCTCTGGCGCCTCCTCCGTAATCAGATCTCCCGGGATTGGCTGGAGGGGGATGCGGGGTTCTGGGACGAGGCCACTCGTGGCAGCAGCGCCCTCAGGGCGGCAGTAGGCAGGCATTTCATGGGCGAGGCAGCGGATGCCATCGGGATTTCGCACGCCAGCTTTCTGTTTGACATAACAGAATTTTATGAGTCCCTTGATGTAGGCCTGCTAATGCACAGGTGCTTGGGCCTAAGGCACTCCCCCACGGTCCTGCTCCTCTCGGCCCAGCTGTACTTGGGCCCGCGGATTTTAAGAGAGCGTTCCTCCTGCAGTGATCCCATCCTGGCCTCATCAATGATCCTAGCAGGTTGTAGGATTGCAAAAAACGGTGCCGCGGCTTCTCTTTTTCCTGTCCTGGACTCGGTCCATCGGGCCTTTTTTCCCCAAGGGGCTCGTCGCCAAATCCTGGGTCGACGATGTGAATTTCCGTCACGAGGGGCCTCGCAAGGCCGTCGTCAAATCCCTCACGGTGGCGGCCATGCAGTTTTCTGCGGGAGTCTCTGCCGACGGTCTTCAGCTTTCGGACAAGTCGGCTGTTATAGCCTCCGACAGGGTCCTCGCAGCAGAGCTCACCTCAGCTTTAAGTCAAGCTGGCCTACAGGTTAAGAATCTGGGAGCTGCAGCTGACCTCGGCATCGAGAGAGGCCACCGCCGTTTGCACCAGGCCTCCAAACATCGCGCGAGGAAAAAGCTGGCTTCGTGACAATCTCGGAAGTTGAATAAGATCGCTCGTGGCACGCCAGGCTCTCGCGCTGCTCGCCGAATTGCCACCGCGGGCATCATCCCTAGGATTGGCTATCGCACCAAGGTCATTCCCCTCTCTCCCGAGCCCCTCCTCCAGCTCCGCAGGTCTCTCGGTCGTTTCGCTTCCTCGAAGGCTCGTGGTAGATGTCTGACCACGGCGTTGCACATTGACTACGGGGACCAGGAGCCCGCTATCTCTCTGCCCACGGCCACCACCAGTCTGTGGTTCGAAATGCTCGCCTCGCCGGAAGCTTTCAGGAAGAGGGCGGCCAGGGCTTGGCCGACCATTTTGAAGAATTTGCGCGCCACCCCTCAGAACCGCCAGCGGAGGAAGGTGAACGGCCTGATCTCGGGCACGATCTCTGTTTTTCTCTCCGCGGGTTGGGGCCCCCAGGGACCGTGGAAGTGGGCCCACCCTACTGGCGATGAGTATGAGGTGAGTGAAGATACATTCGACTCGGACCCTGGCTGGGAGCCTTTCTTGGAGGTCTCCATAGACGCCTTGAGGCTCTCCGTCTGGGCACACGCTTCTATGCATTATAATGGGGGAAGGGGCTGGAGCAGGGAGCCGAAACCACGGGTATGTTAAAAATGATGCGTGCTTTAGCCAGGAAGGGATCCAACAAGTTTCGAGGTTCCCTCAGCACGGTCATGACGGCAGGCTTCTGGCCCAAAGCTCGGCTCTCCAAGGCGGGGGTGAAGGTCGACTCTATATTGTATCCGCGTTGCGAGGTTGAACCCGAGACTGACCTTCACCGCCGCTGGACCTGTATTCCCAATAATGACATTCCCCGCTGCGCCGGCACGCAGCATTTAAAAGACCAAGCAGCTCAAGGAGCTCAGTCGCATCCGTGCTATTGGCTCCGAGGCCTCATCCCCGGAGAATGGACGGCTGTCCCAGAGCCGCCAGACAATTTACACATCCAGCTAGACCCGCGGATCGACCCGCCAAGCCTCCCAGTGCCAGGTGCGATCCCGCACAACCTCCTGGGGGCCCTTCTCATGGACGGGAGGGTTTGGCTGAGCGGGGGCGCGTCTGGAGGGAAGCACTCTAGTCGCGCTAAGCTGCGTCGTATCACCTGGGCAGTTGTCTCTGTTGCCTTCGGGGCTGATCCCAGGGAGGTGCATCTGCGTTTATGTGCTCCTGGAGCTTTTGGAGGGGCCCTCCCTGGCCCGCGTTAGGGAATCAACCGAGGTGAGTTGTTTGCCCTCAAGGAGGCCCTTTTGGCTACCCCAGGCAAGGACCTGACCTATGTCACTGACAGCGCCTACGTCCAGCGAGGTGCGTTCTGTCTGCGCTCGAAGGCCCATTGGAGGCCTGAGACGAATCGGGGCCTCTGGCACCTCGTCCGAGAGCTCTGGGGGGCCCGAGACGTCCTCGTGGTCAAGGTCGCTAGCCGCGCGACCGCTTCCGAGTTCGAGCGAGCGTCAGATGTTTTGAAGGCTTTGTTTCAATTCAACGAGCTGGCTGACAAGCTGGCTGACAGGTTCTCTCCAGCCGCGCAGGTCCCGAGCGCGGCAGCAGATTCTCTCCTGGAGCTCGAGGCGGAGGCCAAGGCCATCCGCGCCCGTTTGTCTGGCATTTTAGTTTCGATGCCTTCGTACCGCCCAGAGGGAGAGGTTTCCAGAGCTGCCGCCCAGGGACCTATCAGGAAGAAGCTGGATTTGGCCTCGGAGAATCCCTGCACGGCCCACCTGGAATGCTCCAGGGTCGAGGGTCGCTTGCGTAGGCAGTGGCGTTGTCGTAAATGTTCCCCGGGGCCTCCCTCAAGGGGAAAGGGTGCTGTAATTAAGTGGCTCCGCTCCCCGTGCAACCCCGCTCTCATTGTTGGCCCTGCTTCGAGTGCCCCGCGGGAGGTGGGGCCGAGTCGGAGAGGCCTCTCTGCGCATCCCTCTCATACTATGCGTTGGTGGGAGGCGGGGGCGGGAACGGTGAAGGAGCGCATTTTCGCTTGCTCGAGGTGTGGCGGGCTCGGGACCGACCACTACCGCTCCACGGGCAAGCTCGTTTCGGAATGCCAGGCCCCCACGCGCGCGGGCCTGCAGTATCTCAGGGCGCTCGAGAAAGGACGAGCCCCAGGCCGCGCGAAGTTGGCCAAGCAGGTCAATGCCCTGAGATAGATTGGATTGAGCGCGCAGCGCAGAGTCTAACCCAATCTAATCTCCTCCCTCCTCCTCCTCCTCCTCCTCCTCCGAACGTCCATGTCCACGCTAAACAGC